ATTTGGATTTTTTTTATATTTTAAGAAAGAATACACTGAATACTAACAGAAGGAGCACTGGTAGCCATCAGGTAGCCACAAACCAGCCACAGGTGGATGGTGGAGTGCAGCCTCTGTTTGCACTTTCTCATAGCAATGAGCAATTCAGGACTTGCGCTTAACCAAGAAGTTAGAGCTCTGCCACATTCCTTTCCCAGGGAAAAGGTTAGAGACATTGCACACAAAACCCCACAGAATTCATGGTGAAGAAATTCCAGTAAGAGCTGACAAATGCTATTTTGGGGGAAAACAGGTTTAACAGCAAGCAGGAAGGAGTAAGGACTTAGAGTTAGATGACATTTTATTACAACATAACAAACGAACAAGCCAAGATAGGACTGTGCCATGTCTAAATACGGTGGGGGTATGAGACCAGTTTTAGAGGAGAAAGAACAATAAAGAAGAACAGAATATTGCTCAAAATTTTCTATTTCTGGCAGCAGTTTAAACAAAGAATCCAGTATAATTTCACTGTTTGCTTACCTTCAATCAAAAAACAACACTATGCTTTAATTTCTCCTGTGGGTGTAGTCAGCTCTGAAGTTAAAATCCAGGCTTAATATCTTCTACTCATAATTTAGGTCACGGGCTGAGAAGCGACATAGGAAATAGAGAGAAATTTCAAGCTTTGCAATAGATGCTAAAACTCCATCCTGTGCTCAGGGCTCCCAGGGCATCAACTGCACACGCTCCTCTGCTCTGAAAGAGCCGAGTCTTGCAGCCAAAAAGAGAGGCTGAAATCCCTACAGGATTTAAAACCCGAGTTGCCAGGCCTTTGCTAGGCTCTGTCTTCAATCTCTGAGGCTGCTCGACTGGCTAAGGTCAGCAAAGAATCTGAATGCCTCGTACCCTGTGGGCAGCTTAAAGAGCTGCAGAAGAAAGCGAGGAGCAGAGTTTGGAGCGGCACGACAGCGGTCAGGAGTGCTCCGCTCACAGCTTCGCTCTTGTGCAAGGGTCAAAAAGGAGCGAATGGGAATGTTAAAGGAATCATTGGGATCATGCAGTTCACGTGCCTGGAAAATGGAAGAAAAAAAGTGTCTAAATAGCAGATTGCAATAGTACCAGTCTGGGAGCATCTTGGGCTTTTTTTTTCTAGTCTTTGGCTAGCGTTCCAGTCCTTCCCTTAAAAAATACCCACAAAACAAAACACCCTTCCACTCTTGTCTCTGTTACACAAATTGCGGGGTTATGTTCAGTATGCCAGCTGTGGTACTGTATATCATTGGAATTACATACACTGTTATCATTCATTGCTGTGTGACTTTCTACTGTTTATTATGTTCATATTCATATAAACATAATTACATTGCACAAGGCTATAAACTCCACATACTGGAGGATGTAAGTATCTTTCTTCTTGTGTTTATTAAATTGTGTTTATACACTTTCTCACTAATTTATATTGCATCTTTCTTGTTAAATATAACAGCAAAATATAATTGAGTCTTCCATTCCTAATGCTGATTTTGTTATTGCTAAAATATACATGCATAAATTGTTGTACATCAGAAAATCATCTGGAGTCTTAGATGAATAGAGCAGTGTTGTAAGGCAGACCTGTGTTTTTTACTAGGTCACCATCAGGCCCGTGCAGAGATTGTTCTGTCCAGCTAACAGAACATGCTGCTAAAAAAAAGTCAGGTCCTTCAAAACTGCACAAACAAAATTAAACCTCCAGGAAATTGCATGTAATTGATTCCTAATACATATTTTAAGTGTAACTGCTTCTATTTTTTTTAGTATTTCAGCTCTGGCTTGATTTGACTGAGGTTTTCACTGCGTGATGTTTCAGGAGAAAATGTTAGAAATAATTAGTCACATCAGAGGCAAAGATGCCATGCTATTTTAGTTTACATCCCATGATACTGTGGAGAACACAGGATTTTGTGCCCCATTACCAACCAACCTCTCTGCATGGGAAGGGAAGGGAAGGGAAGGGAAGGGAAGGGAAGGGAAGGGAAGGGAAGGGAAGGGAAGGAAAGGAAAGGAAAGGAAAGGAAAGGAAAGGAAAGGAAAGGAAAGGAAAGGAAAGGAAAGGAAAGGAAAGGAAAGGAAAGGAAAGGAAAGGAAAGGAAAGGAAAGGAAAGGAAAGGAAAGGAAAGGAAAGGAAAGGAAAGGAAAGGAGGGAAGGGAAGGGAAGGGAAGGGAAGGGAAGGGAAGGGAAGGAAAGGAAAGGAAAGGAAAGGAAAGGAAAGGAAAGGAAAGGAAAGGAAAGGAAAGGAAAGGAAAGGAAATTCTATTTTGCACATATTCTTCTGGTTTTAGTATTAATTTTTAGTAAGTTTAGTAAGCGTAGTGCCTGTCTGACACCAGTCAGCAGAGGCTGATGAAGCAGCTGCCAGACTTTGCTGCCAGTGTGCTTGACAGTGAACCAAAGGGACGACTTCCAGGGGTTGGGAAGGCAATTCCGACATCCATGCTCTGACAACTCCTTGGCCTCGCAGCAAGAGCTGCCAATAAGGCTGTCAAATTAGCACTTAGTGAGACGGTGTCTCGTGACGTGAACTTCTTTCCTGTAGGTGAGAAAACCTATTTCAGGCTGGGCATCAAAGAGCCACTATTAACAAAGCCTGGAGAGCTGTATTAGCCACCTGGATGGAGGGAATCGATATCCAGCAACCAGTGCCTGGAGATATCCAACCTGCTCTAGAGGCTCATTTTAAAAACAAATACAGCTTCAAGATATTATCATGATGACACACGATTGCCAATGATGCCACCTAACCAACTCTTATATCCCGTGGTTATTTTTTTGTCATCTGTTTATAAAGGCACTCCAAACAAACCACTTAGCACCACTGGCCACTGCCAAAGCAGCTGCAAGGGGAACCTACACTACTTCTGGTTATACTGCAAAATCATTTCACCAGGAGTACAGTCAGAGCTGAGTCCAGCAATTCACTTTTACCTTCTTTTCTCCTGAAGGCAAAAGCTGGAATACCCTGCAGGATCTCCATGCCACCAGTAGACAAGAGCTCACCAGAAAGCTCTGTGAAAACAGTTTTCCAATGCAAAAGAGAAAATGACTGTTTCCCCAGGAGTACCATATCCCATGTCAAAGAGTAAAAAAACCAAAAAAACAAACCTGTGACCTGGGACAGCAGTTCTTTAGTTTCACTATGAAATATTTTGTTATGAAGCTTAGCAAGTAAACGAACTGAATGTCAAGTAACCAGATAAAAGGCTTTCACATATTGTTGGACAAGCCATAGGGTTGTTTTTTTTTATAACCACGTTTTCTTCTCAGCCTTTCTGC